TACACACCCGTCGGGCGAAAGGGAATCCGGTTCCTATTCCGGAACCCGGCAGCGGAACCGCATACAATTCGGGCTCTCGCAAGAGTGTTCGTCGGGGTAGCCCAAAATGGCCTGGAGACGCCGTCGGGAGATCCGGGAAGAGTTTTCTTTTCTGTATAAGCGTTCGAGTTCCCTGGAAACCTCTAGCAGGGAGATAGGGTTTGGAACGCGAAGAGCACCGCAGTTGCGGCGGTGTCCGGATCTTCCCCTCGGACCTTGAAAATCCAGGAGAGGGCCACGTGGAGGTGTCGCGCCGGTTCGTACCCATATCCGCAGCAGGTCTCCAAGGTAAAGAGCCTCTAGTCGATAGACTAATGTAGGTAAAGGATGTCGGCAAACTGGATCCGTAACTTCGGAATAAGGATTGGCTCTGAGGAGCGGGGCGTGTCGGGCTTGGTCGGGAAGCGGGTCTGGCTGACGTGCCGGGCCTGGGCGAGGTGAATGACTCTTTCGGGAGTCGGGATCCGAGCTCGGTCCCGTGCCTTGGCCTCCCGCGGATCTTCCTTGCTGCGAGGCTTCCGTGATGGTTCTGCCGTCGTGGTCGTCCTCTTCGGCCGCCATTCAACGCTCAGCTCAGAACTGGCACGGACAAGGGGAATCCGACTGTCTAATTAAAACAAAGCATTGCGATGGCCCTCGCGGGTGTTGACGCAATGTGATTTCTGCCCAGTGCTCTGAATGTCAACGTGAAGAAATTCAAGCAAGCGCGGGTAAACGGCGGGAGTAACTATGACTCTCTTATAGAGAGTCATAGTTACAAGGAACAATGATGCGTTTAATACATGCTGGGCTTGACGGTCCTTGGCACTCAGCCTCTCTTGTTCAAGTGCTTGAAGATGCCTCCCCGGGGCGACCGCTGGTAACATACTGTCTTCTGCCTGATCTAGTGTAGGGTAGGAGCAGTATGGCTAAAAGATTCAAGCGCGCTGCAGGCACGTATGGAGTGTAATGGATTCTATTTTGTTCAATAAAGCAAAGCAATGCGCACCGGAACTTAGTAAAATTTCGAATTTTATTTTGTACCAAAGTGCAAAGCAATGCGCACGGGAACTTAGAGGAATTTCATTAGTTATACGATGAGGAATGAAGCGTTCTCACAGCTGTTTAGCTAAAATTAGTCAAAATCCAACTCCCCTATTACAGGTGACTGATTATCCACATTTATGTGGTTAAGGAGCAATGGTAAAACAAAGGATGTCGAGGGTTGCCGTCCCTCTTCATCTTATCTGCAATTGGCCCAAACAATATTAACTTTGCCTCGGATGAAGCTAGGCCCACTGGCCATGCTAACCAATTAGCTGCAGCAGACTTATTTGCTTGCGAGTTTCCAGGCTGTCTGAGGAGTTTTACTTCGAAGACAGGCCTTGGCGTACACAGAAGATCTAAGCATCCGGAATTTGCAGATCAAAGAGTCTTGGTGAATCGCGTCAAAGAACGGTGGACGGAAAAGGAGAGTCGATTGTTGGCGAGAAGAGAAGTGGAACTAATGAATGAGGGAGTGAGGTTCATTAATATTGAACTCTCAAGGGAATTTCCTGATAGATCGCAGGAGGCGATTAAATCACATCGGAAAGCAGTGGCTTATAAAGCGCTGGTACAGGAATTCCAGGAGTTTGCTAGGCAGGAGCAGCTCTCGAGTGACTCGTCAAGTACGAGTTCGGAGGAGTCTGAGCAGGCAGACAACTTGTCGGAACATACATTGGTTCCATTACTAAAGTTCTTTCAAGATCTAGAACGACCACAGGAGAAGGGTGATTGGCTGGTTAAGTACCATTTTGAGGATTTACTTAACATCTGTAAATCGGCGATGGTGAGCGAGAAGGAGGAGATCTCTGACCGGCTATCACTACATCTCAAGAAGTTAACACCAGCTAAGCAAACGACTGCATCAAGGGCTCCAACTAAGGGCTCAGAACTTTCTAGACGCAAACTGAGGAGACAGGAATATGCAAAGACACAAGTCATGTATAAAAAGAACCGGAGTAGATGCCTGAGCAACATCTTAAATGGCACTGAGAACACACAGCAGCCAGATAGAGGAGTCATGGAACCTTTTTGGAGAAATGTGCTCACTCAGAGATCTGACCAATCTCCAACCTTTGAAGAGTCAGATAATATTTTACATGAGTTGTGGCAGCCAATTTCCATTGAGGAAATTAAGAAAAGCATGGTAGATAAGAAGACAGCCGCAGGTCCTGATGGGCTTACAGGGAAAGATTACAACGACATACCGTTTGTAATTCTCCAATGTCTTTTTAACTTACTTCTATGGTTAGAGAAATTACCAACATCTCTATTGGCTTCAAGAACAATTTTTATTCCGAAACAGGGCTTTGAGCATGAGCCTAGCAAGTATAGGCCAATTACCATCTCTTCCATCTTGGTCAGAGGATTGCATAGGATACTTGCTAGGAGAATTGAGCAAGCAATCCCTATTGATGAGAGACAGAAGGGCTTTAGGACAAATGTCGATGGATGCAGAGACAACATCTTTCTGCTAGATACGATTCTGAAACATCAGCATCGTAATTTTAAGCCCCTCTACATGGCATCACTTGATGTTGCGAAAGCGTTTCCATCAATTTCGCACAAGGCTCTGATTTCGTCTCTTAAATCATTTGGTGTTCCTATATCATGTTTAAACTATATTTCGTATGTATATGAAAATAGTTATACCATTATTTTTGGGCAAGGGTGGCGTTCAGCAAAGATACATCCAGAAAGGGGTGTTCGTCAAGGAGATCCACTATCATCTCCTCTATTTAATATAGTGACGCATAGAATGCTGCAAACATTGCCTGCTGATGTAGGGATTAAGTTGGGAGCAACCAACATCAATGCTACCGTATTCGTCGACGACTTGAATCTTTATGCTTCTACACCTAGAGGTTTGCATGTCATGATCAATAAGGTCACCCAGTTTCTGGGAGAATGTGGCTTGGCAATTAACACCGACAAGAGCTTTACCCTGGGTTTTAAACCATCTGGTAAGCAAAAGATTTCGACGATGGATATTACTACTGAATTTAAGATTGCGGATAGATCGCTCAGAAAAATGAGAAGAACTGATGCGTGGACGTACCTAGGTGTACAATTTACGTGGGCTGGACGCAAAAACATCGCCATTAAGGAAAGCTTGATGGTCGATATAGAGAGATTAACAAAAGCACCTCTGAAACCTCAGCAGAGTCCTTATGGGCACTCTGAAAACTGCCGATAAAACATCTAGAGCAGCAGTTAGAAAGTGGTTAGATCTACCACATGATACGCCTAATGGATATTTCCATTCTTCGATTGCGGAAGGAGGTCTAGGAATACCTTCCTTCAGGTGGATGGCACCAGCAATAAGACTTAAAAGGCTGCAAACATTATCAACTGTACAACCCGGTTTGCAGGATTTTGTGACACTGGAGATTCAGATTTCGGAGAGGAGACTGAAAGAGAATGGGCAATGTTTAGATTCGATGTCTAAAATCAACCAGATGTGGTCTCGTAAGCTCCATGTATCTTTTGATGGCATGGGACTTCGTGAATCAGCCAAGACACCAGGCCAACATGACTGGATTGGGGATGGAACAAGGTTTCTATCCGGCAGGGATTTCATCACCTCCTGCAAGATGAGAATCAGTGCAATGCCAACAAGGTCGAGAACATCTAGAGGAAGAGCAGGAGATCGCTCTTGTAGAGCTGGATGTGGAACAACACAGACTTTGAACCATGTGTTGCAAGGTTGTTTCCGAACACATGTCAAGAGAGTGGACAGACATAACGCAGTTATGAAATATGTGGCTCAGAAATTCAAGACGAAAGGTTACAATGTTCTTTTGGAACCCGTAATTCAAACAACAGCTGGAGTTAGGAAGCCCGATATAGTGGCATACAAGGAACGTAAGGCTTTGGTTTTGGATGCCCAGATTGTCAGCGAGCAATCTGACCTTAATACAGCTCATCGTAAGAAAGCTGCATATTATGAAGATCAGCAAGTAACGAAGTTTGTCAAGAATCTTTCGGATGTGGTGCAAGACGTATCCTACAGTTCGGTTACTTTGAACTGGAAAGGAATTTGGTCAAGCAAATCTGCGGAGTACTTGAAAAATTCCATCTTTTCTAGAAATGACCTTAAGATCGTGTCATCTAGAGTACTCATTGGGAGCATTGCGGGATTTAGGATGTTCAATTCTACAACTAGAGTTAGGACGCAGACGTAATCCCGGAGCGTTGCTGTATAGTATGCCTGAATGAGCAAGATTAAGTCTCAGCATAATGAATATTAGGTGAAGCCTCCCACAATAACATGAGGTTTAATATTTTTAAGTGAAGAGAGGGAGTGTGGTTTTAGTTGGTAGGGCCATTGAGCTGCAAAGACCCGACAGCGATCAATGGAGGAGTCCAACACAGAGTGTGCCTAATGCATTTCCACCTTCCCAAACACTATAAAAAAAAAAAAAAAAAAAAAAAAAAAAAATAGCCAAATGCCTCGTCATCTAATTAGTGACGCGCATGAATGGATTAACGAGATTCCCGCTGTCCCTATCTACTAACTCCGCTATGCCGGTTGCAAGCCCGGGGCCCCGCATGTAGTTCAGTGCGGGGAAGGAGGAGCAGTGGAGGGAAGAGTACGGAATTATGAAGATAAGGGGTGTTGCTGTTGGGGCAACACCCCTTTTTTATGCAAAATTTTTCGGAGTGACTTATTGCATCCGTATACGCAGTGACACATGATGGTTAAGGGGTGTTGTTCTTGAGACAACACCCCTTTTTTTATGCAAAAATTTTTTTGCGATGAGTTATTGCATCCGTTTGTCGGATATCGGCTAAGTAGCACGAGAGAAATAAAAAGCGATGGAACTTTTGAGGTGCGTTGCTGTTCCAAGGTGGAGATATGGACTCTTCCCTACGGAATGGAAGAAGGCATTGGTTGTGACACTTCTTAAATCAGAGGATAAAGACAAGTCAGACCCGTCATCGTATAGACCGGTCTGTCTACTCCCTATAATGGGTAAAATTATGGAATCGCTTATGCTTACGAGATTACGGGCGAAATGTGAGATGCGTATGTCGACGAAACAGTATGGCTTTAGACAAGAGAGGTCGACGGAGGATGCTTTAAATGAGTTCTTGAGACTCCAAGAAACGAAAACGAAGTATTCGCTCGGAATCTTTTTGGATATTAGCAACGCATTTAATAATTTGTGGTGGCCAGCGATATTGAAGAGTGTAAGAGACTTAGGAGTTTCCAAGCAGATGTTTAGGATACTTCAGAGTTACCTGAGCAAGAGAAAAGTGGTGTTTTGCACTAAGAGTGGTAGTGTGGAGAGATGGATGGACAAAGGATGTCCACAAGGATTGGTCTTGGGCCCAGTATTGTGGAATATTGTTTTCAATGACTTATTGACTGACCTGGATAGGGAGAACATTATCTTTGTGGCGTTTGCGGATGATGTGGTGATAATCATCAAGGGGAACACGAGAAAGGAATTGGAGTTAAAGGGACAATATGCAGTAACTCTGTCCGAAAAATGGTGCATCAACTTGAAGATGAAACTCTCCGAAAAGAAGACGGAGATGATGCTTCTCAAAGGAAAGTTAGATAAGGACCGACCGCCTACAATAAAATTGGCGAAAAAGCAGATTAAACTGGTAAAGGAGTTTAAGTATCTTGGAGTCACGTTCCAGTCAGGAATAAAAGGCCTTTTGGCAGGTAGACACGTCGAGATAGTAACTTCTAAGAGCAAAGTGATGTTTGCGGCACTAAAGAGGG